GTTTCACTGTGCAAACTCACTGGCAGACCCTGCCTCGCTCTGCCCAAGTAATTAGCACAGAAAAGTTCAGATTTTTCTGGACTCTTACAGTAAAGAGCAGAGGAAGCTGTTTTGTAACATACTTTTTGTCATCGCTTTTCTATGAATGGAATGAATTTCAGTCAGTCATTAAGCAATCCCTTTCCAGAATAAGGAAACGGCGACTCAGAGGAAGCCATTGGATTCTTGGCCATTTCCTCACCCGCCTCGAGGGAGGCGGGAAAAGCCTTGATGAGAAACTTCCAAGCCTGGATGAACAGACGGGAATGCGGCCTCGCTGGGATCATCCCGCTGTGCAGGATTTCCCACATCCCCTTCCCCGGGGAGGGAAGGGGCTGCCCGGAGCCCTGGCCCCACACACGGAGCAGTGTTTGCCGGCTGCGTTTCCCGGCCAGCTGGGAGCCTGCGAGCCCAACAATCGCTTGCCCTAAGATTATTTCATTAGGCACTGAATGGCCAAGCGTGCTCCTTCCTGCCCATGAAAGCGTCTATTTTTCCCCATCCCCCCTTCTCAAAAGAGCAGCGGCTTTGCAGCCAATTTCTGTTTTATTTTTAAATGCCTTCTGCGGGGTTATTATAGAAGAAACTGCCGTGAGTACCTTGAGCCAAAAGGCAATGCCTGAGTAGAGAGTGAGGAGTTTCCTTGATTAAAACCACTTGGGGTGTTAATTTTTTGCTAGTGACTAAAGTGCATGTCCTGGCCAGGCTGCCCTTGGGGCTTTAAATGGCTTTGGGACCCTTTTTGGTAAGGACAGATCATTGGGGCAGCTCTTGCTGGTGATTCAGACGTGCTGCTGTGCCCAGCTTGGAACGGAGGGTTTATTTTGACACAGTGGGTTATAAAACAGCATGTGAAACAGCCTCGTGGAACTGTTAACCGAGGAGATCCTGGTCACCTCCAGGCACTCGTGTGTCCCCACGGCCAGCACAGTGGTGGCATTCAGTGCCACTTCCTTAGGTGACAGCACTGCCTGCGCAGATGCCTTTTAAGCTGGGGACAAACGTGCTCTGATGCAGCCTTAGAAGGGTGCCAGCAGTGGATAGCTGGGCTCCTCTGTCTCTTTTTGTCCGTATCCTGTTTTTATTCAGAGCTGCTTTAATCTCTTGTTCACCCCTCAGCAGCAGGCATCCTCTGGAGGAGATTTATGTGTGTGCGAGGCAGTGTAGAAGGGCATGAGAGATGATTAATGGGAATTGAAGAAGCTCTGCCCAGTTCTAGTAAGTGCCAAATAACTTGTTTCCCATGGACGTTAAAATTAGCTTTCTATGACCTGGAATAGTGACTACTGAATAAATACTGAAGTAATACTGAAAAAAGTGACTGTGGCATCAGGATTGCATGCCTGATTTCGTAATTTGTAAGAGTTTTCGTAAAGCTCTGAGGTTCCAAAGCCATCTGGTGGCAGCACCAGCCTAAAGGGAACTATTTTAGCAATGTTGGGGAGGATATTGGTGCAAGGACCGCTTGACCCCACACTGATAACATTGTCTTCTGTCAATGCTTGGTCCCTTAACTGCTGCACAGCCTTAAACTCAGTGTAGCTGTTTGGAAGCTAAAGCTGAGCTCGTTTCCTGTAAATGCGCTTTTACCTGGGGCTTTTGGCAGGTCGGTTGCCCTGAAGATGGCTCGTGAATCAGTGTGTGGGGAAACGGCTGCAGTTTTGGGTGCTCGCTCCTCCCCGGGGCGCTTCCTCCTGCGGCGATGGTGCAAGTTCCTCCATCGCGGCCTCCGAAGAGGGAAGTCCAGGGCTTGTTTACATCTGCATCAAGGGTTGTCCCCTATTGCACCCAAAGGGAGTGTTTTGGAGGATGTGAAATGCTAAGAATGGTTTGGGGTGATGGTCAGGAGCCCTCACGGGGTAGTGCTTGTTCTGCCAGTCCCTGCCTCTTCAAACTGCTCTTTTTCTCCTGTTTTCAGTCTTGCTTTGTCAGCCCTGCGCTGCTGTCTAGGCAAATAGCTCTGTAGAGCAGCTCCTTATCTCGGCCTCCCCTTGCTCTCGAGGGCTGTAGCTGCATTTTGTTGTTCTTTGGGGATTTATCACAGTCCTGGCAGGAAACAGGAGTCCCTAGGCCGCAGAGAGCAGCAGTTTAACTGAAAGGTTGGGATGCTCCTGTCTCATGTGCACTGCAGAATGAGTTTGCTCTAGGCCTGGGTGGTTATGCAGTATTTTGGTCTCTTCAAGCATCCTGCTTGTGGCTGTGGAATCACAACTGTCCTGGCAAGCAGACTGCTGAAGTTCTGCGCTCCTTGCCTTCTCCAGACAGCAAAATCAACCTCCTGCTTCTGGTGTGGCCTCTCACCTGCTCTCTGAGCTCAACTCTTTTATCTTGTGGTGCTTTTAGCACCGCAGGTACCCCCAAACCCTCAGTGAAACAAGTGAGAACCCTGCTTGGCTGCAAGAGATCTGCTCCTAGCACTAAACCAGGTGCTGGCTGCTAGAAGAACTTCAAAACCCCACGTGTTTTTAAAAGTGCGTTAGCATAATGAAGGACCCTCCAGGATGAGGGTCTTCCAGAGCTCGGATCCACAAATTGCAGCATGCTCAGCCGTTACCTCCATGCCCAGCCCTTTGGGTTTCAGCTCCTGCCGCGGAAAGGAGGGAATGCCGCGGAAAGGAGGGAATGCCTCGGAAAGGAGGGAATGCCTCGGAAAGGAGGGAATGCCACGGCAAGAGCAGGGGACTGTCCTGCTGGTGAGTCACCATCCGGAGCAGCAAGGTAGGAGGCTGCTCTAACCAGCACACATGACTCGTGAGCTGATTACCACCACCCTGGTGCAGCATCGAGCTGACTAGTAATCCTGCCAGTCCCATGAAGGCTAAATATAGCCTAGAGTTTAAATCTAACCTTGAAGCTCGTGCTTAATCCTAGCAGCACTCCTCACCTCCAGGAACTGCTGAGGATGAGGCACCTGGGAGAGGAGGCCTCAAAGTGAATCAGAGGGAGGGTCAGCGTTCCCAGCTCCATCCTGGATGTGCCTCAGGCGTTAGTGCTTGTAACGAGGCTCTTATTGGTGTCCTCGCTGCGTGACCGGGCTGCTCGGGCGCTGCTCACGTGCAGGGCTCTGCCTTGACTCCCTCCTTCCCGGCGCCTGCTGGCCGTATCGCAGGAACTG